AGGAAATTTTGTTAACTCGAGCATCGAAAGACTTTCAAATAAATTAGACAAATTTGGACGTTTGGGTAACAAACCTTTACATTATCCTGTATTATTAATCCTACATGGCGTAAACAATATCATAAACAAAACAGAAAAAAAAAAAAAAAAAAAACGGATAATCGACTATATTTAGTTATTTGCGTAAATTTCAAACATAGCAGATAATAAAATATTCAATGGGTTTATTATTTCTTTCATAGAATTTAATGGGATGAAACAATTATTAAAATGATTATTTTTTCCATACACTTTTTGACTAATTTTATTCTTCTAAAACTTTCTATGTTCAACTAAAATCCAACCTAATCGGATATACCTGCAAGCAAGTTACAAATTAGAATCGGTTGATCAAAGCTGGTTTTCAGGTGTCGTTACATCACATTTCTTGATTAGTACAGTAGTATGAAATTGATGAGAGATAGGATTAATTAATTTTTTAGAAACCCGTTCTGCGTAAATCTATTTACCGTATAAAATATACACATTAGCGTTAGTGGTTCGTTCCACGTGAAGCCATTAGGACTACGTACGTACGTATAAATACCCGCATATCAATCAATATTTTCTTATTTTATTAGTATATTATTAATATAAACTGGCATGTAATATTTAAATGATTCCACTTAAAGGTGCATATAAGTATTGAAAAAGAAAGCGATCGTTAGAATGTTAAAAATTGACGTGATCGCTGTTTCACGTGACTTTGTATTGAATTTCCTTTTGAGTACATTAATTAAATCTAAAATTATTTTACAATTGATATTGTGTTGTTAGCACATGATTTTCATTATAATGCTATAGAAGTTTGGTATAGATTATAGGTTAGATTTATCAAAATCCATTTTTTGAAATATCATTTCATCGAAAAACTATAATATTGACAATTCATTTTACAGAAAAGAATCCTTGTGAGTAGCTATGTATAAAGCAAATTATGCGAATATTATAATCCTGGGCACTAATCATGCAACTGCAATTCGCATACAAGTACGAAATGATACACGTGTCGTGTTTTCGTACGTACGTACGTACGTAATTCAAGATTCGTCATTTGGCTTATTTAGTGGTCGGCTAAAGCGGAGCAAAGGTTATGGTTATCTTTTTGATGCAGTTATGGTTAGTGGGTTATATAGATATCAATAGTGTAATTTATGTAGCATGTAGATCATATATTGAATTAACATTGTAAGTAAAAGAAAAAATACGTAATTATTTGTTAACAATAAACTGATTTATCTATGTAAATAGCGATAGGAATTAATTGGGCTTCCTTCAAGGTACCAGTACGCGTATGAACAATTTTACTTTGGTTTACGTGTATTGATAATGCCATTTTTATATCTCTGCATTCTACCCCAAACTTGTTAATCCCTAAATATGGACTAAATGAATAATCACGATAGTCATGATAATCACGGTATGCTAATCTGTAAATTCTATACAAATTTTTTTTAACCAATCAAAAAATACAAAGATTGCGCAAATATGCATTATAATGCGGTGACTTTTTGTGTACTTGTATTGCATGTACTTACGTACAATCATGGTAAAAATATTGCCGTATAGATTAAACATGGGTAAATTTCAATATAAATTAGGATACACTGCATCTTTTGGGTACAAATCAAGTTAATTAACTTTTTATTATACGTATTAGAAAGCTGCTGCTTTAGTAAAATTAGTAATTGAACACTTATTTTATACGTAATAAATAAAATTTTTTAAAAAATCTTGATTTATATACATACGTACCCAATAAATCGTTAAAATTATCTATTCAATCAGACGACGACGAAATGATATACAAAAATTAGCCAATCGGAATGACTTATTTTTAATTAATGAATCCGACTTTCAGGGATATATGCTAACGAAATTTAATCAAGTTTTTGTTCTCTAACTTTACTATGGCAAATTTAATCTGATAGAATCAGATTCATTAACGATTTTTCATATGGGTGACTCCAAGAGAAAACCAGGAATTCTAAAAATAGATTTCTATCCACAACAAAGTTAATCGATTCGATGATGATAACACATGATTAAAGAACGTTATCATCATCAAAATCGATTAAAAACCTCGCAACTTTGCTGTGGATAGAAATCTATTTTTAGAATTCCTGGTTGTCTCTTCCATCAATATAAGTCAAACCGGGTGCAAAAATACCATTCTTGATGGATCGTCGAGTTTTAATGATTGCTGCGAGTTCAGTTTGTTTACTGGGTCAATGACAGATTTTTTCTTGTAAGCGCTCATATACATTGCTATAGTAGCATAGCATTTTGGAGGACATCAAAAATGATATTTTTGCATTTACATACCATTCTTAATAGGGTCCTCCAAAATACTATGCTACTATATACCGGGTTGGTGAATTTCTATACGTAATTATTTATTATATCTACGTAATATTTGTATAAGCGTTAACAGTTAAGTGATAATCAATAACGATACGTACGTACGTAGTATAAAAAAAGGTCACTGTCCAGTTACTTTTCACCAACCCGGTATAGCAAAGTATATGAAAAAAAAAACTAGAATTAGAGTCGATTTTAAAACCCTATCAAGAATAATACTCAAATAAAATTTTAAATTCCATCAAGAATACAACGTTTTTTTATATGCATCGATATAAACTTTATAATATAGGGAACTAATACATATACCGTTATTTTTGCTATTCGTACCCTCATGCGCAATTTTCGCTATAATTATCGCATCGTGTGATCTCGGGGTTCCAATATTCAGACTCCGCTTTTGATTAGTAAGAATGCTTACCGTTACTAATCAAAAGCGGAGTCTGAATATTGAAACCCCGAGATCACGCATTTTGACTGTCGGTATGATTAGCAAAATTGCGCATTAGGGTACGAATAATAAAAATAAAGGTATGAATAATAATTGCCTATATATATATATATATATATATATAATTCGAAATTTATAGTATATATACGTAGTATTCAAATATTGCAGGAACCTCCAATAAAGATTTCTCGCTATATCAATTCGATATATAGATTTCAGTGGTTATTTGGACTATGTCCATATTTTTAAGCAGAATAAGACATGGTCCAATTTTATATGTCCAATTAAAAAATCATTATATCCCATATTTTTTAATTACAACACTGATATAAAATATATACTTTATTTTTCAGAACCGGGTATCAATAAAATATTTCGTTTTCTTTTATAACTAAAGAAAATTAATAAGCCTATGGCTAAAACAAATAAAAATCCTAAAACTGCAGTCGATGCTATTAATGCTATATTAGTGCCAACGTTAGTGTTAGGAGTAGTTAGCGTAGAATTCGTTGTCGGTACAGGTCCACCAAGTTTATATTCGCTAATCCATTTATAATCAAATTTGTCACTTGTATCTAAAACATATACTTCATTCATTGTCGGTGATGGTAAAAAAAGATCGTTTCTTCCAAAAAGTACAATCATATAATGATCAACCAAAGTAGCTGAATGATAGCAACGTGAAGGTTTGTTACCCAAACGTCCAAATTTGTCTAATTTATTTGAAAGTCTTTCGATGCTCGAGTTAACAAAATTTCCT